TTCTTTAGTCCATTACATTGGTAAAGATTTCTGTTTTCCCCCATGGGAACAGTTCACTACTGCCAAGGCCATCATCATCTTTTTTTATTTATGAGATATGGTAACCCTATTACTTTGTATAAAAGTTTAGTGTTTTAATTAGAATTGCTGTCAGCATCCTGCATGTGATTGATCACCACATGTAGAATGTAACCACTTGGAGCATTTCAAACTGTATGACATTGCAGTACTGAGTACTTGAATGTGCATACTTGTGCTAATAGAATTTATGTTTGTTTCTTGATATATGCTTTGGTTCTTTTAAAAGATTTATTGTTTCAGGAATATTGGTACATTAAATAAAGAAAATTTTTGTTTCCAAAGACTACTGCCCGAGTGTCGATCCTTTGAGCAGAAGGCTATATCCATGACTTCCTAATGGTAAACAAAGTGAGTCTGTTCTGGGGGGTTTCCTGAAGGTCACAGGGTAACCCCTAGTAAAACCCTGGCAATTCCTCTATGGTGGGCCATCTCCTTTCACCTACCAAAACAAACAACTGACAATTGAGTTACTGAAATAGGCAAACCATTGTGGGAGTGTCTTAAGTCTGGATTTTGGGGGTAACAACTGCACTTTGCATCTGGATTTGAATTTGCAATCTAACGATAATACATTCACATTAACACACAGATGTATATGCCTCAATGTACAATCATTTAAATGTGTTTATTTAAATATGTGATATCTGATTGTACATTCAAATAAGCTTACCAGTACAATAATTTCAAAGACATAACACATATAAACACACACAGCAAGATAGACAAATTAAAGCTGCATTGGAAACCACAAAGAAGTGGGCTGTAGTCCACGAATGCTTATGCTCTAATAAATTTGTTAGTCTCTAAGGTGCCACAAGTACTCCTGTTCTTTTTGCAAACTTTTTACCTGACTTTTGCTTATCAAAAATTTCAGCCACATTAGTGGCTTTAGTGTAACTGCATTAGTGTAACTTTTATGTACTCCCTCCACACTGTAGATAGTGTTGGATCTCAGTGCTATGCAGATAAGAGCTGTAATACATCCCTCTCTTAATTTGAAATATTTTTAAAGGTTGTACCATACTCTGGCTAAACAGTCATTTAGGGGCAGAGATGCTTTTTTAAAAAAAAATGGTATTTTGGGTTTCCTACTCCTAGTGTAGCTGGGTCTAATCTGGAGCTCACAAATGCATTAGGTATCTTGGCCATTAAATTATCAAATAAGAATACCTAGACAAAAAAGAGTGTGTCTTGTCAATCCCACTCACTTTACAGTATGTATCTAGAAACCTTTGTGCAGTCTAATGTCTAAAATAGGGTCCTCCTCCTGAAGACCCTAGCTGCTCCAAATGTAAGGAATCAGACATGTTTCTATTTAAAAATAACACATAGAATACAATTCGGCACTTATGTTTTACAGTGATAGACTCCTTACATCTCTGGGATATAAACAGATATTATTTCTACAGCATTGTTCATATAAATGCACTGGACCAAATAAAACAAACAAACAAAAAAAACCCCCAAGAATATAAAATGTTGTGCAATTCTTAATTTAGATATACATGTTAAGTATTTATCAATCTTTTTGGCTTAAGGTTTCCTCACACGTACATAGGCAAGGAAGTTTAGGAGAAATAGTATACTTAGAACTACTTTATATTGTATATGTCCATGCCTAATTCTGTGTTTCATTACACTGATAAATATTTAACTTACAATATAAATTGTATAGAAACCTCAGAACCAGCTTCTCTGTCTCCTCCGCAAATCTCAACCCACAACTCCTATTCTGAAACAAAGGATCTGTACTTCATAATTCTTAAGGGAAATAAAAACAACATTTTGTTTTCCAACAGATCTCTAAATGAATGCACGTGGCCAGGCTTAACAGAAGCCCATCTTACTTGAATGTGTATACAAACATGATCTTCTCAAACTTTGGGTGGAATTTTCAAAAGTATTCAGAATTGACCTAACTCTGCTCCCAATAAAGTCAATGTGAGTTACCATTGTGCTGTTATTATTCACTTTTGCAATCCTTACCTTTTATTTGTAACAGTACATAACGTAGAAATGTCCCATTCCACAAATGAAGGTCCTTCATACTCTAAATATATCTAAACAAAGAATTAGGGTAGCACATACAAATATATAATCTGTTGCATTATATTTAACTGTATAGTGGTTTTAAAACCAGAATGTTCTTTTACCAGGTTTTTAATTATTACACAGAAATGATTAAACTCTTTAAATATTAAAAATACCTAGGGACAACGTCAAACTTAAAATTGTAATTATTATGGCATTAAACCCAATCTTCTCCCACTGCAGTCAAAAGAAGTTTTGTCAATAATTTCAATGGGAAAAAAAAACAGACTGAATTATATAAAGCACACTACAAAAATAAAATGGGAGGTCTTCTATAAAACTAGCAAATAAGGTTTTGAATTACAACTACCCTTTCTGAGGTCCCTGTTAGCAGGGCAGGAAATCTTGTTGCAATCTTTGTGACACCCACAGTGAGCAGGGCCAGTGAGTGTAAACTAGTTTTTATCTTGCTCTTTATTCTTTAGTCCATTACATTGGTAAAGATTTCTGTTTTCCCCCATGGGAACAGTTCACTACTGCCAAGGCCATCATCACGCAACAAAAGCACACTCAAAACTGCGTTTGAGCTCTTTAGATGGGGCTCTGCAATGGGCCAGAGAAACTGTTGTCAATAGACAAGGCATTCCCTCCCCTCAATGCATAATTTTACTCCACTGAACTCCCATGCCTGGTGTCACAGAAACAAAAGACTAGGAATGGCAGTTTAATAAAATCTGAATTTCCCTCCTAGTAGCACAGATAATTACTAACCCTTTCAACTTCATTTGCTTTTTAAACTGTTGACGTATACAATGGTGTGTGCACAAGTGTGTTCACAATCACTGGTGGTAGCAACAATGGGAATTTTTTACCAAGAAAATGGTTCTAATTCAGTTACTAAAGCTGACTGCAAATGATTTTGAGAACTGCACCATTTATTCATATATTGCGATACTGAACTGGTGCAAGCTGTGGAAAACTCATAAATTGCTAACATGGAAATGCAACATTAGAAAAATATTAAATCTGTTTCAGCTGTCTTTTAATGCAATGTAGCAGCAGTTAATGAGGAGGAAGAGCCAGTACCATATAACCAGTCAGCTCTGTAGATGACTGGCAATTGCTCTATAGGCCACAATTTGAGAACCACTGTGTTACAGCATTTTTCTTTTATTCCCACTTTTATCCTTAACTTTCCTTTCTGATTATGGGATTGACCCTGTTCTCACTGAAATCACTAGCAAAACTTCCATTGGCGTCAACAGGGGCAGTATTGAACTCTAAACAAGTTAAAGTTGAATTGATGTACTGATCAGACACATACTTACTGGTTAATTTAAACAGATATACACCTCTACCCTGATATAACGCGACCTGATATAACACGAATTCGGATATAACGTGGTAAAACAGCACTCCGGGGAGGCAGGGCTGAGTGCTCCGGCGGATCAAAGCAAGTTCGATATAACGCGGTTTCACCTATAACGCGGTTTCACCTATAACCTATAAGATTTTTTGGCTCCCGAGGACAGCGTTGTATTGGGGTAGAGGTGTATAATCATGCTGGTTTGAGATGTCCTTACCTCACTGCCAGAAATACATACTTTGGCCTATAGATGTGACTATTCTAAATATCTCTCCAGTACATTTAAATGGAATGGGATGAACACGCTCCTCTCCCTCCACTTGTAATCACTGATTATCTACTAACTTCCTATATGAGAGTTGCCTCTCATCTCCTAAGAAAGTATATTTGCATGTAAAGCTTTAGTGTGTCCAAATTAAAAATTGAAATAGATATGACAGTTTTGGCTATACATCTCCCACCAATAATTTTGTTAAACTTGAAAAGACAATACGACCTAAACTAAGAGTTTAATCATACACCTCTCCTGTATATTAGAAAGACATAAGTACTATTACACTTATTATGTAACATATATTTTTCTTATTTCTCTCACTTAAAAGTGAAAATAAATAATAAAACAAAATAAACAAGCGCAAATGGAAATCTCTGAACTGTTTTGCACTCAGGCTTTCTCGAAACTACAAAAAAGTGCTTGTTCTTTACAATGGGTATCAGCAACTGTATTTTTTGAACTTTTGTCAAGATTTAGCATATTTCATATCCATATGATTGAATGGTATGGTTAATTAAACCCATGTGAGAAAATGTAAGGGAGTAAAGCATTGGTTAGGTGAGCTTACTCTATATAACCTGGTAAAGACCCAATGCTTATTTAGTGGATAATTGATTAGGAATGTATAAGTCGAGGTATAAACAATATATGTATAGGTTTTGTAGGCCTGCATACACTAACTCCTCACTTAACATTGTAGTTATGTTCCTGAAAAATGCGACTTTAAGTGAAACGATGTTAAGCGAATCCAATTTCTCTATAAGAATTAATGTAAATAGGGGGGATTAGGTTCCAGGGCAGCTTCCCCTACTCTGCAAGCATCCGGGATGGGGGGGCTCAACCCTCAGCCTGCCCACTCCACCCCTTCCCCCAAGCCACCACCTTTGACCTGCCTCTTCTCACCTCCCACCTCCTCCCCCTTTACTTCGCATGCTGCATCCTGGCTCCTCCCTCCCCTCCCTTCTAAACACCGCAACCCAGCTAATTCCTGCATTCAGGAGGGAGGGGGAGCCTGCGTGCCAAGTCCTTGCTCCTCCCCTCTCCCTCCTGAATGCCGCAAGCCAGCAGATTGCCGTGGGCAGGAGGCAGGGGGAGGAGGCAGAAGGCGCTGATCCACGGCGTCTGCCAGCGGGTGGGAGGCGCTGGGGTGGGGTGGTGGGGGAGGCGTAGGGAGGCTGCCAGCTGTGGAGAAAGCAGGCAGCCAAACAATGCAAGGGTGGAGCATTGCACAACTTTATATGAGTATGTTCCCTAATTGATCAGCAACATAACAACGAAACAACGTTAAGCAGGATGACTTTAAGTGAGGAGTTACTTTACTCAAGTGTGGTTTTTATAACCTCTGTATAACCTTTTAGAGATGCAAAAGTGAGAACAAAGGTTCCTGACAAAAAATATTAAGATCTGAACATCCTGTTATTAAGTTTTTGGGGAGTCTAGAGAAAACAAGCTAAATCCCTGTCAAGTAGTATGATAGTTTTATTATTGCTAAAAAGGGGAACAATGTGTTATGAAACTTATTGTATAATTCAGAACATGATGTACAGCAATAAATATTACCTAATAGGGAAGGAAAAATTTGAGACAGCAGATGAATAGAAGGCGGTGTTGATAAAGATAATGTGTAATAGTGTGTATAAAAGATCATGTCAGAACCTAGAATCTCTGCCTTTCCCCTTGTGATATAGCCAGTTCACTGGCCTGCTACAATCTCATTTGATCACTGGGTGTAGCACTCTGTGCCTATGCAAATAAAACCTGGTCCTTGGATCCAGAACTTGGTGTAAGCAGTGGTTTGTCTGCTTTCCATGGATCTGTGAAGTAACATGTAGGCCTCATTGAATTGGTCCTGAAACATCCTTACACAAAATTTTTCCTATATACAGCAAATTTTCCTATACTTTGCAATATGAAGACATTACAAAATAAAGAGTGTTTGAAATCAGACCCAAAACATTGTCAGTCCCTAATATACACAAATAAAAGCTAGAAGCAGTGTGTTACAAATCAAGACTGATTCGTTCTGATCATTATTAAACAACACTTACAGTGGTTCTGGTAGTGAGGAGAGCATAGTTTTCTACATTAGTTTTATACCTGCAAAGAAAATGCACTAAGGTATGAATGTCAAAATTAATTTGTTCTCCAAATAAAAATAGTAAAGCAGTGAGACTCTATGACCCCCTTAGAGAGCAGCATTAGAATTACATCACAAAGCAATATCATGTTATGACAATATTCTGGAGGTCCCAAAGCTATTTCAGGAAGCCAGGGAATAGCTGTGTGAAAGCATAAGATTACAGTCTACAAACCATGGATCAAATTCAAAGTCAGTAAACTTACTCCGGATTTACACTGGTGTAAATGAGGGCCAAATTTGGCACTATATTTGTATATGACAAATTACTCACACTCCAATGGTACGTTACCACTTCTTAGGTGTATTCTGTCAGCTGTTTAACAGCATATAGCAACACTATACAACTGTTTAGGACAGGAAGTGAAGAATATAGTAGTCAAGTGAAACTGCAGTGGAAATTTATGTAAGCGTAGTAAGTACCCAGATTAGACTTAGGCCAAGACATCTAATCAGGGATGACAGCCCTACATTGTTAAAAGTGCCATAAAATCGTGAATAACCATTAGAATTTCAGCTTTACATTTAACATAAAAGTTGGCACCTACAGCAGAACAGTGCAGCCTAACACAATGCTGGGCATTGGTTCAGTAGACTCAGAGGGAAACTGCCACCTATTAAACCATCTGGAAACTTCCTGCAGCTCTGTAGGTTTCTGGGTGGTCTCCAATATATGTAATGACAGGCCTACCACTATGCTCCTTGGGTTGGTGGTGCACGTCCTCATCAGGCGCGCTTCCACTGACCTAAGAGGGGCAGGATGGGGAACTGAGAACCAGGTGTCTCAGCTCCACTGGCAGTTCCCTGCCAGGAGCCGGGCTGCCCCACTGGCTCCCGGTGGGCTGCACCCTGCCTCGCCACCTTGTTCCCTACAGGGAGTGGAGGGAAGCTGCCCGGGGCTTCTTGCCTCCCCTTTCCCCGCCAGGAGTGGCGGGGGGAGGGAGGGGGAGAGAAGCTGCCCCAGGCTTCTTGCCCCCAGGGTGTGGGGGCCAGCTACCCCAGCTTCTCAGCCCCACCCTGCCAGGAGCCAGGCAGCCTTCTCAATTTGACTCCAATAGAGAGTTGTGAAATTGACAAGACAGCCAATGTTCCCAGTCAGGAGCGGGAAAGCCACCCGGGGCTTCTCACCTCCCTGTTCCCAGCTGGGAACAGGATCTGCCGCCTGGGCTTGTTGCCCCATAGCTGGGAGTGGGGTCCAGCCGCCTGGGCTTGTTGCCCCAGCTTCCAGCTGGGGGCTGAGTGGGGGAGTGGTGAGAGCTGGGGGCCTGGGCTTCTGGCCCCAGCTCTCAGCTGAGAGCAGGGTCCAGCCGCTGGGTTTCTCTCCCTGGCTCCCAGTTGGTAGTGGAGTCTAGCTGCCTGCAGCTCCCAGCCGGGAGCGGGGTCCATTCTCGCCCCAATCCCAGCCAGGAGTGGGGTTCAGCCGCCCAGCTCTCCAGGGGAGGGGTGGTGTGACAGATTTCTGTTACCAATCTGCCCGAGGCATCAGGTGATCAGGGTGAAGCCACGGGATCTTTTGGGGAGGAGATGACGGAACCCATCAAGCATCTAAATTTTAAAGCTTTATTAATAAAATAACAGCAGAGAGTGCTGGGAACACTCCCACGTCACTTGGGGGAAGAAAGAAAGAGCTAGCGCCCCAAGCCCTAACCAACTTTCATACTCACACACACACTACCCAAGACTGGCCAGGCCTGGGTGTAACGTCAGAAGAAGGGGATGGGGGGGAAAGGATGGATGAGAGTGCTGTCCTGGGCCCAGGCCGTCCAGGTCTACTGTTGCTCTCCAAATTGCTCCAGCTCTCAGGAGGGTTTTAAGTTCTGGCTCCTCGGGGGAGGGAGGGGTGCTCCGTTCGGGGACTTCTGCTACTGGTGCCCTCTGTGTCAGTACAAACCCGCTTTCTGTGGTTTCTTTAGCTTTTCCAAAACATCCCGGCTCCCAGGATGCAAGGTTCGGCCCCTCCGCTTGTCGTCTCGTTTGTGTTTTCAATCTCCGTAGCCCTGGACTTTGTTTTCTTCTTCACTGGCCTTGCTGTCTTGCAGGTCTGTACAGTTGGAGTTTTCTTTCTCACGGCTGCTCAGGCAAATTCAAGCCCCCATCTTTCTCGGCTGTCAGCCCAGTCTTGGCTGTGAGCAGTGTCCTTGGGTGGCTAGGGCCAGCGTCTTACCTTCCGACTGAGCTAGCTAAAATGTTGAGTTAACCCGTTCTTTGCTCTCTTCTTTTTCTCCCCCCTGCCCAAGCCTCTCGTACCTGCAAAGGAAACTTTCACTCCCCACTCACACACCTTTGACCCTCCCCAAAATGCTTTGCGATGCTTGCAACAGCGTTAGCAATATACAATGCTGATCTGCCTTCCCAGGGGACTCCCTGAGGGAGGGGGCCTTCGGGTGTGACAGTGGGCAGGTGGGCTCTAGCTGCCAGGCTTTCTTGTCAATTTCACAGCTGTGAAATTGACAAAAGAGCTAACAGCCGATCTAAGTAATGCAGTGTCTATATAGACACTGCACCAGCCTAACTATACCGACATAAGCCATATACCTCTCACGGAGGTGGAGTTATTATATCAGTGTAGTAGGGCACTTACATCAGTGGGACACGGCTACCATGTAGCCACTAATATAATTAGGTCAATGTAAGCTGCCTTATGTGTCAACCTGTGTAGTGTAGACCAGGCCTAAGTAGAGGGGTCCTAAAACTTTTTCATACTGTGGACAACAGTGTGTCTTATGGATTCCTTCCCCTCCTATCTGTGATTACATGGATCACCTCACCTGTTATTCACAATCACACAGCATCCCTGTATCAACGGCAGCAGTTGCTTATATGGAAAACTGATTTAAGGAAAGTATTTCTGTATTTTCAGCTGTCTTTAATGCAAAATGTGTTTAATCTTTTTTGAGAAAACATAATCAGGCTTCCTACTTTGGCTATTCATTTCATTTCCCCTTTATATATATATAAGCTTAACTTTAACCAAGGATATATATATATATATATATATATAATAAATCTCCTTGGTTAAAGTTAAGATTCTGTCCTAGGTATTTGTAGTAAAAGTCAGGAACATGTCGCAAGCAATAAACAAAAGTTCACAGAAGCCCATGACTTGTCCCTAACTTTTACTAAAAATACTCGGGGAGGTGGGGAGGGGGAAGGGACACAGAGCGCTGCCGGGCTTGCAGCTGCTCCAGTCCCACTGCTGCTCTTGAGACAGGGGATGACCACTGCTGCTCCAGCTTCAGAGAGGCTGACCCAGCTCTGGCTGCTACTTCTGTGGGCTGGGGACCACTGCTCTGGCGGCAGGCCGACTGCCAGCTATTCTGGTAGCCCTGGGGCTGGCTGCTGGCCAGCTATTCTTGGGGCCACTGTTCTGGAAGCCTTGGGGCTGATCACCAGCCAGCTGTTGCAGCGGCCGCTGCTCTGTGGCTGGCTACCAGTCAGTTGTTCCAGTGGCTGCTGCTCCAGCAGCCCTGGGACTGAGAGCTGCTCCAGCCCTGCCCCAGAAGAAGTCACGGACATCCTGCAAAGTCCCAGAATCCATGACAGAATCGTATCCTTATTCATGGTCCTTAGTAGAGGCAGCTAGACTTTCCTATTTCCAGTGACTTTTATAGACCCTAAGGATCTTTGCAAGACAGAGCCCAGAGACCTCTAGAAGCAGCAGACAACAAGAAGCCAAGACCATGTGATCAGACAGCTCTTTGCTTGATGACAGCAAGTGCATGTGTATGCGAGCAGAGGAAATCACACCCCTAGCTCATAGTGTAGGAGAGTAGAGTGCTACACTATGCCTGTCTCAGCTGCTTGGCATGGGTCAGCACGCGTTGGCAGCTGTCACCCCGTGGGCTGCGTGGCTGGGGCCGGGGCCTGTGGGCAGCTGTCACCCCATGGCTCCTCCCCCCACTCAGATTGGGGGGTGGGGACACGACGACGAGCTGGGGACCCTGACAGGTGCAGCCCTCTCCGGTCTCACATCTCATTCTGTTCCCATCCATTTTCCTGCCTCCCACCTCCATATGCCGCAGCATCCACACAGCCACCACAGCAGCGCCAGGCCTCGAGCGCCCCATAGCAGTTCCGGAGCTCGCGCCATGGGCCCGCCTAATAACGGCCCCAATAAACCGCCGCCCATACGATCACGTGACACAGGACCCGCAGCGGGGCTCAACAGAAACGGCCTGGCACCTCCTTCCCGGTTCGCCAATACGGCCTCTGGAAGCCGCGTCCCCTCTAGCACACAGGGTCCCGCCTTCTGGTTCAGCCCCAGGCAGCAACAAGGCTTGTTCTGCCGCTTTCACAGGTGCGGCCCACAGGAACTACTCGTCCCATCAAGCATCGCGCAAATTCCGTGCGGCGCACTGCGGGGAACGGTCGTGCTGCATGCCGGGAAGTGTAGTTCCTGCCGTGAGGAGTCTACGTAGATAAGAGGGCGGGGCTCCACGCCGGGCAAGGAGGGGGAGTCAGGGGTCGCCAGTGGATGCGGCGGCCGCAGTTGCGGTATTTCTCGGCGTGGAGGAGGCGGGGTCAGGGGAGGAGGCGGCGTTGAGCGCGTTCCTGTGCCGCCTCATGTGTACCCTGCCCGGGGAGCAGGAAAGGAGCCTCCGGCGGCGGCAACCATGTCTGAGAATGGCGCCTCTGCTCCCCACGTCCCCAACGGCGAGTGCGCCCCGCGGTCGCCCGGCAACAAGGTGACCGTGGTGTTGGGGGCCCAGTGGGGCGACGAGGGCAAGGGCAAGCTGGTGGATCTGCTGGCGCAGGACGCGGACATCGTCTGCAGGTGCCAGGTGAGGAACGGCGCCGGGCTCACCTGGGGGGCGGAAGGGCGGCCTGGCGCGGCGCCGCCGCCGCCTCCTCCTCTTGCCACCCAAGATGTCACCTTGAGCCCGGGTCCCCCTCGCCGCCGCCGAGAGGGGCTGGGGCTGCCCCGCACTCGGTCCTGCCCCCGGGGGCCGCTCCCCAGCATCCCGCGCTCCTTGGCGGCCCGCTCCCTGCCTCGTGTGTCCCGCCCGGTTGCTAGCTCTCCCGCCGGCCCTTGTACTTCCCTAGCGCCGGGTTACCCGCCTCTGCCCTATTGTTAACGCGGGCCCCCGGCTTTCCTCATGCACCGGAAGCGGCACACATGCTAGTGTGAGCCCCGGCAACGCCTCCAGCCTAAATTCAGGGAAGCGAGCAGGCGGGCAGTTCCTGGGTGCTGCGCGCTCCGGGCCCCGCTGTGTACGCTCGGGGTTCCGCCGCGCAGCCCTCGCTTCATCCATCACTGCTGCTTCCTCGTTTGCTGGGCGGGAGTCTGAGGCAGCACACCCCTGCTGGCCAGGCCAGGATCATCTCTGGACGAGAAAGGCTTTACAATTCTAATTCTCCCTTTGTGCACTATTTGCTTAGGGGGAGGAGGAAGGTGCCTTCTTAGTAGCACAAGGTTGATGTGCAGGGTGTCAAGGAGAGAGGAACATGCTTGGAATCTGTTTTCACGCTGTAACTCTTTGCTATTTTTTGCATATGAGGTGCTTGAAGATGAAAAGTTTGGAATATTTCCAAGAGCAACTTTACTGAGAGTGGAATGATAATTGGTTAATTGCAATGCAATTAACATCTAGAATTCTCATCATACCTCCCTGCAGGCCTAAATTTAGTATGAATACGTTCTACTCCATTTGTTCCTAGACCAGGTATTGGAAATTAGGAGCCATACAATGTGTGGGTTAGTATGTATTCTCTCTGATCTGCTGATAATCAGCTTGAAACAGGTTCATTCTGTGAATCAATTACAGATGCCCTTGAAAGTTGACAGTTTCCATGATATTGCCATTACAGGATGCTATTTTGTCTATTTTTTCCTCCCATTTTCCTGCCATACGAGCAAAAGGAAAACTGGTAGTGAAAAGGGAAAGAAGAAGATTGACAGCATCTTGCATACAGTCAGTCAACTGCCCCAACTAAAACTGGAAAGAAAAAGCTGAGAATTTTTTCTTAAATCTTTCAGTTATAGCAGTTCTGTCTATAGAATTTTAGACACAAAAAAACACCACCACTTTTAGGTTAAGATGACTTACCTTAAAAAAAAAAAACTTTTGAGTAGGTTAGGGCCAACGTTCAGTCTTTACATATGTTTTATATGACAGTGTTTGAATAGCAGTGTTGTCAAACTTATTTTGGTAAATGAAAATATCTTTTGATGTTGCAAATGCTGCAACATTGTCCTAATTGCTGAGAACCATGGTGAAAACTGATCAACCTGTTATTGTCCAAACAAAACTTATCACATATGCTAATTAGAATTTCAAAACTTGTAGTACAAGTTATCCTTGGGGTGTTTTTTATTGTTTTTCTCTTAGAAGTTTGTGTATTCCTTCAAGTGAGCTGGCAATGGACAGGTTAGGGGTGGGAAAGAAAAGGAAGTTATCCTTCAGTCTTATTTTTTGCTGACCATCTGTTAGCAAAATCAATAGGAATGTAAAAAATGGTTTTGGCAACCCCCAGGAGGGTGGAGGTATGACATTCTTTTAAAGCCAATTCCATTAAATAAAGTAAGATACTTCTGCCTACAACAAATTTACATTTGTCACCTCTGGCTGACATCAGCTATTCAGTTTCCATGTCCACCTTTATACCCCATCCACATTAGGAATTAAACTTTTAGTACCATTTATTTTAGGCTTCATCTACACAGGACTGCAAACTTAACACAGCTGTTAAAACTTAACCACCTCTAACTTGGTATGGCAAGCCATTTTCTAACACTATGTAGGCTGGTATAAGCCATGGTCTAGGCCAGTGGTCTTCAAACTTTTTTGATCACACACCCCTATCAGTAAAAAAAATGTTGAGCACGCATCCCCGCCACGCTGGCCCTACCATTTTTGCAACCTCAAGCAAAAAAAAACAAAAACCAAAAAAACAACTCAGACTCCTGCTCTGGCAGTGCTCCTCCTGCCGTGCCCCCTGAAGGATCCTCTTGCACACCCCACTTTGGAGACCTCTGGTCTAGGCATGTGTGGCCCTCCCTCACTGTCCGCCTGTGAGAGAGGCCACACCCCTGGAATAACAGTGTAAAATAAGGGAAGTTAACAGTCTCAGGGCTCAATCCCTCTGGCAGGGTAGAGCAGTGCGTGGTCCAGGGACCCAAGCCTTTGGGCAGGACATAACACCAAACAGTCTAAAGCCCAACCCCCAGGCAGGGTAGACCCAGATATAGTCTGGGAACCCAGGCCCTCAGACAGGGCAGGGTACCAAGCACAGTCTAAGGCCCCAAACCTAAGGCAGGGCAGAGTGGTGAATAATCCAGGGACCCTGGCCCACAAGCCGGGCGAGGTACCAACAGTCTAGAGCTTCAGACTGGGGCAAGCATCCAACACACTGTAGGGGGGCTGAGGCCAGGACAAGCACCCAACAGTCTAGGATCCTAGCTCACCAGACAGACTCCCGGAGGCCTCCTGGCCAAAGGTGGGGAGGCTGCCACACCACAGGCCCACCTGACTCTACAGGCTCACCTGACTCCACCATATCCCAGCCCAGGGTCCTAACAGTGGCAGAGTGGTCTGCCACTGGGTCAGCAGGGATCCAGCTGCAGCACACTAAACCAGACTCAGGCAGCAAGCCAGCCAGAGTGTAGTCAGATGTCCCTGGGCCACTACCCTCAGGGTGCACACCTGGATCTCTGGGTTGTCCTCCATCACCCCTGGGTACCCTGCAAGCAATAATCCCAGTCACTCCTCAGCATCAGCCACATCTGGTAGTTCAGACAAGTCTTCAGGATAGCAGAAGACTTAAGCAGGTTTTAGCTCCAATAGAAGCATCTGCCTCTTGCAGTGGTTTTTCCCTAAATGAGCTATAGAACCCATCTTTTATACTTCCTGTTCCTGTCCCACCCATCTGCTTCCTGCATGGTGGGTGTGGCTTTCCTGATTCCGCCCACTAGGGGGCATGTGACCCTCCCTTGCTGTCAATCTCTGAGGGAGGTCACGCCTCTTTTCTACACATGATATATTGCATAAAATATTAAACTGTTTATAAACCATTGTCTAGAGCAGTGGTTCTTAACCTTTACTGCAGCCTGCACCCCTTTGGTTCTCAAAATATGTTCTCACACTCCTTATCAAAAATCATTGAAGTAGGTCAGTTCTTTAAACCTAGATATATCATAACTCTATATATCTGCGCATGCGTCAAGAAATACCCCACAACTTTGTGGTACACTGTATTTTGTAGTGAGATAATTTCACTACAATTAGCTTAAAAACTTGAAAATACATTTTTTGTTTGTATATGACAGTAATCATTAAAAAAATGTATAATGTTAATAAATACATAGGTTTGATTAAACAAAGTAGTTGTACTTGCGTGCCTGTGCTTAATTTGTGTTTTCGATGATTTACCTTCTAAAAAAATCTAGCATGTCTCACACCCCCAGAAAGGGCATCTCGCACCCCTAGGGGGTACATGCACCCCAGGATAAGAACCACTGATATAGAGGGTTTGTAAAGCTGCTATGACTGATCGAAAGTGGCCAAGTAAACCATGTATTATTATTTGTATAGCAGTAGTGCCTAGGATCTCCGGTCATTGACTTTAAGGCCAGAAGGGTCTGTTGGGAGCATCTAGTCTGACCTCCTGCACATTGCAGGCCACAGAACCTCAGCCACTCATGCATGGACCAGGATCTCGTTGTATTAAGCAGTGTACAAACAGAACAAAAAGGTGGTCCAAAGAGTTCATAATCTAATATAAAGTAGCATAAAATCAGGTCTCTTAATATGGCTTAATTCTTACAGAGGACCCATTGACAAGACATTGCAAAAACTATAGGTCAGAACCTAATGAGCTGTTGATGCTTTGTGGTATGTCCACCATGTGTCCCAGGTGCTCTGCAATGATATGTATACCAATTGGTTATGCCATTTGGGATGAGATCTTTAGTTCAACTGTATCTGAGCTAGAGCAGTTTTACTACGGTAGTTTCTAACTAGTATGACAGGAAAGAAGCAATAATATAGCTACACCAATTCAGCCTATCCTCTATACTGGGGTATCTCAACCTGTGGCTTGGGACCCAAAATTGAGTCACCAGAATGTTCCCCAGTCGGGAGTGGGGCCAAACCTGAGTGCCACTGCAACCCCAGTGGTTGAAACATCCAGAGCTGAGAGCCACGCCCAGCCAGCCCCACAGTGCAGGAGCTGCAGGAGCCACCACTGTGGGGTGACTGCCCTGGCCTGGCCTGCTAGGTAACTACTGCTGCATGCAGTATACTGGAACTGTATTTCCGCCTTCATTGGAAAAATTATATAGCTCCATAAAAGTGACTGCATGCTCATATACCTTCTTTTCTTTTTCTCATTGTAAAATATTTGATGTGACCAAAGTAATAACTTTGTAAATGCATCAGAGGCACCTGACCTTTATGGCTTCACTAGCAGAGGTATCTGCCCAAGAAACTTGGTTTATTTAGCCTATTCAGATTATTGTGATATCTAGGTCATAAATCAAATCTGATACCTCATTGCAAATTAAGGAAAACATCTTTCTAGTTACATGGCATGATGTTCCTCTTGGAGGTGTTCAACTCGTACATTCAGAATGTATGAAGCATATAAGGTTGTAAATACAAATCTGTGGTTGAAATCTGAAGCAACTTTTTTATGTTGATCTGCCAATCTATAACTAAATAATATAATAAATACAAATAGTATATTACAGAGAGAATTACACCTTAATCTATCAGTCTTACCAGATGTCATCACCTAACTTTCTTCAGAGACCACAAAACAGGTTGACAAAGGAGAACACAGT